GTAAAGCTTGATTTTCACTCAGGAATATGGGAATCTGTAGAATGCTGACCAGGGATGTTCCATCAAGAATAACTGCTGATGAAGCATTGAGTAAGCTCTAACTTTCTCTTTCTTAAATGGTAGAGCAATCAAATGATACATACATTTTTTTGGTAAAAAAAAAAAATGCAAATTAGCCTTCTATTCTTCAGTGAACCGTCTAACTTTGCAATTATATACAGTGTTTCATTAATCTACTTTCATCATGATTTTTGCTTTCTTAGGATTGTTTCCGTCACTCATCTTGTAATTCAAATTTTGTGGTCGTGGTCGTGGTCGTGGTCGTGGTCGTAGTAATACGTGTCTTCGACACGTCCGCGCGAATACTATCTTTTTAGAGAAAATTCTTAAGAAACAAATGCAATACCACCAGTCGTTGCGATTTTAGACTATCGCAATAAATTTGGAAAATCGCAACGCGAACTTGGACTATCGCAATGCGAATATGTAAATCGCATTGCGATAGTCGAAGTTCGCGTTGCGATAGTCGAAGTTCGCGTTGCGAATCTGGAAACTGATTTGAGATACCGGAGATCGCGTTGCGAATTATCGATCGCATTGCGATTTAGTTGGTCATTTTGGCAAATTCAATAAAAATTGGTTAAAATCGTATATTATAAGGCATTTTTTGGTCACTGAGGTTATTTTCTCTATTTTAAAAGCTTCATCTTTAGACTTCATATCCTGACATTTGAGCTGTCCAACTTCAGGACATCCATGGATATTGCTCTACACTGAGCGCTCATTAAAGACATTATCCATCAAATCAAAGTCGAAGAATCAAGTAGGACCTTCCATCCAAGTTTCCCATTCTCCTGGAGCTGAACTTAGTACGAGTAGGAGAAATGGTGGTTTCCATACACGGAGTCCACAACCAGTCTTAACATGTCACAGCTCTAGTTGCAAATCAGAGGAACAAGATGAAAATGGTCTGGTGGATGTGCTTGCCGTTGCAATTTCCCATGTAAGGATATCTGAACCAAAGAGGACCAGACTTTGCAGTCCCACAGGACCTATAGAGCAGCAGTGTTCATCTAATCTCACTGCTAACAACCTCTGTAGAGCCTTCTGATCTGGCTGACAGTGCTAACGTGATTGTCATCTACGCTGTTTTTCAAGCTCAGGACTTGGAATTTAACTTACCCTGCATGTGATTTCAGTGGCAAATGATGCTTATGGTGGATTAACTCGAGACATCAATCTATCCCTTATGGTGTTATCGCTTGGCAAAGCTTTTTGGCTTTCCAAGCCATGCTGTTTAACTAAATAATTGTTTTAGTAAAATTGATGTACAGAAGTGATGTCTCTCCTAAGTTGTACAGGTGTGTGTTGAAGGCTTCAGTCGAAAGTAACATAGCTAAGTCTTGTAGAAAGTACGCATAGGCTTACAAAGATATGTTTTATAATGAGCGACAGCTCTGGAAGCAATCTTAATGGATAGCAAAGACTTAATTGTGATGGGAAAACAAGGTTGAAATTTACTAATTCGATTGGATGCTTCTTATAGAAGTCTTTCTTCCTGATTTTGTTAATAGCATGAACAAAATTAATTGATTTTAATATATTGAAGAGGTTATTTTGCAAGTCTGGAATATTTGTCAAAATGCAATTAAAGGAGATGTTAGACATTTCTGAATTAAAATAAGTTGGTTACTCTACGGCGACGAAACAAGATTCAGTTGTGGGTGCTGCTAAGGTGTTGGATGAAACGGTCAACACAAATTCCGATGAGATGGAGTCAATGCTAAGACCGCTAATGTGGACAACGTGATTGGTATTAATGAAGCCAAAGAGCTGACTCAAGAAATGCAACAAGAACTTCACTTTTGAGGTTTGATAATTATACTGTAAGGATCGATGAGGATTTAAGTTCAAAATATTCGCATCATTCAACGTCCATTCATGGAAGTTCCAAAAGAAGTCGACTATACAGCAATTGTTGGCAATAACACCAATTGATGGCTTCAACCAGTGTAAGCTTTTTGATCTTGGTATTGTCAAACACCACTGATGCAAAAAGGCTGATTGGGAGTAGATTTAGTGATGCTTCTATTCAAAGTAATGTCAAGTTGTGGCCATTCCAGGGCTGGTATTTATTTGAATAGGAACTTTGTGAAGCTTGTGTGATTGGTTTTATTGTTCACTCGGCATCTTCAAATAGAGGTTATGCGGCTAGTACTTGGAAGGATAGAGAATGAGGTTAGATTACAGAACTGTTGTCAAGTTTGAATGTTGGTTATCACATTCTTATGAGCCTCTTCTTTGCCATCCTTGGAAGGGAAGGCAGTGGCAGTCGATACAAGCCAAACTGATAGAGAGTTGGATGGCAATGATGTCACATTGAGCTGTAGCAATGCTGATCTAATAGTGTTGGACTCAAATGAAGTTTCTCAATCAGCCATTCTTTGGAAGCTCCAAGTCGATGCATTGTAGTGTTTTTTATCCTACTAGAGCAACAGTTAGACTCATCAAAGCTGAAGTTGTTGAGCTTGTAAAAAGGCACTTCGAGTTCATTAACTACCCAATATACCTACAATGAGTTGCCGCTCAACATCTCTTATACGGTACTACAACTGAACAAGATTTGAAGGTGATCAGGAAAACCCTTAAAAATATATCGAGATGTTAAATGAGATTTGCTGAAGTGTTGTTTTGGATGATGGTTGAGGCTATGATTTTGTGTAATGGAATGCTAGAGGAGTTGTTCGACTAAAAGAGGCATCAAAGGAATTTCTGAAAGTGGAAGGTCTGCAAATGTACTTAGAATGGTTAATGCTTTCAATCCTTGAGGACAATGATTGCTTTCAACAGCTTTATGTTTTTGCATTCAGCAAACATCAACTTGATGGGTTGCACGACTTTTCCTACCTTCAAATAGAAAGAAAAGAGGAAAAGAATCATTCAAATTCACTTTCTCATGATTAAAATATGATTTGCATAACAGCTTAGGCTCATTCTGATGGTCATAGGTAAGTGTCTTCCATCCATGAAGAGACAGAATAAGAGCTTGACTGCATTCATTTGTCAACCCCAACAGTACATTCAAAGATAAGAGATGGGAATTTTCATATCGAATTTAAGTTTTGGAGCTGCAAAATCTTTGACATTTGACATCAAAATGATCTCCAATCTTTACTGCTTTTGGTAGGTGTTATTTTAGGTATATCACATACATTTCAAGTTAAAGAAAAGCCAAGTTTCTTTCCCTGCAATACCCTTAGAACCTCAATTAAAGCACCGATTTTGTAAAGGAATAAACAAGTGGGAGGGAAGGGTGCTGTGATCGCTCTTCACTTCCAAGTTGGGGTCATGGGAAAAAAAGAAGCAAGATCAATCCTGGAAATAGTGCAACTGAAAAAGGTTTTTGTACTTAAAATATACTATTAATTGATTAAGTTAATTAAATCAAAACAAAGGTTTTAAGGAAAAAAAGTGGAGATTGAAGATATTTTAGTAAAAGTGGTGCAGCAGTAGACGGAGAGAGAAAGCAACCTTTAGTGGTTGCGCTGATGGTGCTTAATTCAGCCATGAATGCGCTTAGCTTAAACCCCCACCAACAGGTTTTTTTGCTTGTGTCATGGCCTTGCTTATTATCCACACAATTTCTTTATTATTATTATTATTATTATATAAAAGTAAAATAACAATATATTACTATCACCACTGTTAGTTTAATGCATAAATTAATATTGAATTCCTCTGGTGCTGGGCTATCCACCAATCAGCTCAAAGCACACTAATTTTTTGTCACTTCAAAAGTAGCTGTACATGGTTTTCTATTTCTTTTCTTTTCTTTTTTAGCTTCATTTTCATCTTTGTTCCATTTGTCATATCAAAATCAGAATTTTGGGATTCAACCCAATTGTCCGTACAAGTTGAGCATTTTATTGTTTTTGCTGTTAGTATAAGCTTGGTGGTGAGCAGCATGAGTATTGTAGTGTTGGATAGCATGTGGAAGCCATAGCCGAAACAGGGAAAGGAGGAGGTTTTAATAAATTAAGGCCCTTCATTCCATCAATTTAAAATAATGAAGTCAAGTCTGTCAAATGACGGGATGATATAAGACATGTTCCTGTTGGAGAAATAGATCAATCAAAATGGGGCAATTTCATGTGTGATTACCCAATTCTCTAATAGTTTGGCAAGATCTTGGACCTAAATGTTTAGTCATAATCACTGTTTTTCTTTTCTTTTGAGACATGGATAGTTGCCCGACAAATAAAGAAAGAACAAATGCCAAAGTACAAAGGCATACGATCAAATCAAAGCGCAAAAGAGAAAGAAAAAGCAGAGGCTACCATGGAAATGGCCACTGAAACAGTAGACGGAGAGCCAAAAGCTTTGCTTCCCCATCACTTATTCATCCCACATCGACCATAAACTTTACTTTCTTTTTTACCTTCCTAGTTGCATTGGCTGTAGATTTTTCAAACTAACCATCAAAATGATTGGTCAAATCCCTTGATATAGGAAAACCAAACACAAAGCTAGCAGAAAATATAGACTGCTCCAACACCGTTGATGAAATTTTTCATGGAGGGTGAGAAATTATGATAACCATCCACCATACATCCACCAATCAATCCTTTCTTAAGAAATGGGATGGAACATGGAACCCCACATAGTGGGGAGGGACCTGCAATGTGTACTCATACAACACTTTCCACACATAATTAATGGCCCTTCCTCTCAGTTTAATCATTCCACATTCTGGAGGGTGAAATGGGCAATTTTATATATCATAAAAAGGAGCAACAGTCTTGCTAATGTATTATGTTCCATAGTTCTACCCCATACCCTTCTCGCGTTGCTAACAATAACAACAATAAATTCAACAGTCGGGTGCTGCAACAACAAATATTAAACAAAGTGAAAAAGAAAGAAAGAAAGAAGCAAAGAGAAGTGCAAGCCAGGGATTTTTAAGTCTCACTAAGCTATAGCTTAAACTACAGATTCAATCCAAATGAGCAGACTTATCTTTTAGAGAGCGGAAAAATACTTCTTGGCTGCTTCAAATCTCCGATTTCTTCGACCATCTCTACATCAAAAGTTAAGGCGATCTTGGACCGAAAAACATGCATCATTGCCCCTCCATATACTAGTTCAATAACCCCCTCCTAAATTCTCTTTTGGCTAACTTCAATTATTGAAATGAATACGAAAACAAAAATAAGCATAAAATTTAAAATGTGTACCGCTAGAACATCCGATGATCTGATAACATACAAAGACCTCCTGTTCAATCACTAGTCCCCTCATCCAAAGTCCTTGAAAAGAACCTATGCAAAAATGAAAGTTATCCCTAACCGGGAGATCTGATTTCAGTGCAGCCGTAACAACCCAAGCCTGAAGCAGAAGTTATTTACTCAACTTTGCTTGGCTGGATTGACTGGAATACACGGGGCGTTATCTAAAAGATGCCTGCCATATTAATATTCCCCGTGAAACAGAGCAAACTTGTTTTTTTATCTACCATGAGAACACTTGAAATAGCTTCCTGCATCGTGTTTACCTACGAGATGGTGACAAATTTCGGTGCATCAGTTCTTGGCCCTTCAAGAGACCGATACATGTATAATATTTCAACAGCATCATCCACCTCCTCCTCATCAGCAGACCTAATCACTTCAACTACTAGGCGAGGCATAGCACGAGCAATCTCCTGGCAACCACGGCGAGTTAGCCTACATGAGGACATCCAAAGGAACCTCATGTTGTAGTAGTGATGCAAACCGGAACGCAGGGCTGCATCTCCAAATGGGCTATCTCTAATCTCAAATTTCTGCAATTGTGGACAACCCTCAAGCACATATTTAAGGCCCATATCACTGTCTCCAGCAAAGGCCACCGACAACGTGCGTACCAATTTCCCATGCCGTCCAATGTAGTCAAAAACTTTATCCGTCAGTAATCCGGATACAGCAAGGCGAGTGAGCTTCTTGCAGTTCATAACAATGGCACCAAAACCATCATCCATGGGTTCTCCAGTCACATGATCGGCCCTGTGGCGCCCCATTATGCATAGCCGGAAAACAACAAGATCTGGACAGTTCTTGGACATTGTTATCACAGCTGCATTAGTCATCTGCTGGCAAAAATACAGAATAGATTGCAATTTCCGACAGCCTTCTGAAATAGCTTGGAGGCCAACTTCAGAAACCGGGCCATCACTATCCTCTCGAGCATCGACAGGAAAAACCCGAAGCTCACGTAATTCCTTGCATGTCGCAGCCACTGCTTGAAGTCCTTCATCACATATTGAATCTAGAACCTGCACAATGAAAGTTAATGTTAACTTTAAAGACCTAATTTCTTCAAAAAGTTTATAGAATAAAATATCGATGCCGTACCCAGAAAACCTGGAGCTTGTGGCACTTGCTTATAATTGGTTTAAGCTGTTCTGCAGTGATGTTAGCATAGCTGAAATTCAGAGATGTTAGATTTGCGCAAACAGGGTATATTGCAGGCAGATAATCCAGAATTATTTCCCTAAACCCAGAGAGACAAACTAAGGTTTTGCAGGCAGCAAAAGCATTCACATAATCTGGTTCTTGATCACCTTGCCCTGCAATCTCCGAAGAGCTAAAGGACCCTGTCCCAAGGTGTGTGAGCTGCGGAGCTCGAACCATCAGGCGGTATAGCTGCCCAATTGAAACATATCGATTTAATCTAAGCTTCTTAAGTGAAGGAGACCTAGCCACCAGCCTTTCCAATGCCTCGAAATTTATATGGCATTCCACACAATCAAATATCAAGGACTCAAGATGCGATTCACCCTCGGGAAAACAGGATATCCAATCTGCCTCATCATCTGAACTCTCGGATTCGATCAGATCAAGCACCTTAAGCTGTCTGCAATTACAGAAATACAGCAATCAACTATCCATACCCTCCCCTCAAACTCTCCTTTCATCCATTGATAGTACACATTCCACAAACTCAAAACATTTTCACATCCCAGTTCATACCCAGATCAAGGAACACCATAAACAGATCTTAAAACATCCAATCTATAAACACAACCAACAGATCAAAAATATATTAATACAGCAACAAACTTTTCTCAACTCATTGCTAAATAAACCAATAAAAATTTATCTTTAACACCAAAAACAGATCTAATCAGGCAGATAATAGTAAATAATAACCTCATCGGCAACAACAAAGGAGAATACCTGCACTTGTTAACGAAAATAGCAAGGCCACTAGTTCCAAACCCATCACAGCAAACGAGGACGAGCTCCTTAAACCCTAAAAACAACTCGGCCAGTGTTGCCAGATCATCATCCGTCACGGACATGCGCTTTAGATGAACTTTTTCCAGCCAAGGGTAAGCCTTGGCCATAGCCAGAGCCCAGGGATTGAAGTGCGCTCCCCAATCAGACGGCATCATGTTAAAGTCCGCAAACCTGGGCTTCCCTTTCAGGTGAAGAGCCCTCACCCTGGCGAACCTGGCCGTGGCCCGAGCAGGCGAAACCGCATAGCAGTTCCCAATGAATAGCTCGGATCGAGTAAGCGCCTCGACCCGGTACCATGACTTACAAACCAATGAAACTGCGTTTCGGTCCCGCTTCGATGTCAGGAAGTGGAGCACGTTCTCCAGAACCTGATCCGGGTACGCCGACTGGAACTCCGGGTTACCCGAACCAGATCCAGTGGCGTTGCAGTTCCGCGCCTTATTGGAAACAAACTCAAGATCCGACGGCGGAGACTGCTGCCTGTCGTCGTCCTCAGACATTTTGTTCCGCCCTGTTGTCTCCCACGACAGACAACGAAAGGAAACGAAATAAAGCGATTTTGGAGAACACGCGCTGCCTTATAATCTTAAAGACAGTCTTGCCTTACTCTGTTCTGTTAGTCTATTTCTTTGGGTTGAGTGATGAGATTGAGATGTGAGTTTCTGAGATAATGGATTCAATGTAAAGCAAAGCAGTAAATGAAAATAGTGAATAGTGTTATTTTAAATTATTTTTTTATTTCTTTTGGGCAATGGGATTCTCATGCTTGTCCAATATCTAATGTCTCTCTACACTTACCTTCATTATTTGGTTTTTTTTTGAGAAAATAATCTCAGTGATCAAAAATTTCATATAATATACGATTTTAACCAATTTTTTTTGGATTTGCCAAAATGAGCAACAAAATCGTAATGTGATCGCTAATTCGCAACGCGATCTCCATTATCGCAAATCAGTTTCCAGATTCGCAACGCGATTATGACTATCGAAATGCGATTTTCCAATTTCGCGTTGCGATTTTCCCAATTCGCAATGCGAATAAGTAAATAGCAATGCGAATTAGGAAAATCGCAATGCGAATACGTAAATCGCAATGCGAATCTTACTATCGCAATGCGATTTACATAGCGTCATTCGTATTAACGCGTATTTTTTTTTCAAATTCCAAACACGAATTTTTTCTTAATATATCGGAAACTGAACCGTCCACAGTAATCGCAACTCATAACCTCAAACCTAAAATCACAACACTCAGTCTCATCTCCATCTCTCACTCTCTACGGCGAAATCCGTCCCCATCTCCGAAGATTTCTATCCCATCGCCGGCGAAATCCCTCACAACCATTTACGGTCAGAAATCCCTCACAATCATTCAGAAATGGAAAATCAACCTCCGAGGGTTAGTTTTTTTAATTTTTTTTTATTTTAAAATTTTTGCATTATTTTAGGTTTTTCATATTGAAATTGATGATAAGTTTACTGGTAAATTCAATAATAGATTAACCATTTCACTTAGATTTCTTATTAAATTCATTCGATTGCTGCCAATACTGCTAAACTGTTTAGTATTTAACCCTGTGAAGTTAGTATTTGTCTTTGTTTTGTCTTTTGGTTGAAGTAATGCAAAAAAAGAATAGTTTCGAGAATGACAATCGCAACGCAGAAATGAAAATCGCAACGAGATAATCGCAACGCGAAATGAAAATCGCAACGAGATAATCGCAACGCGAAACCAAAATCGCATTGCGATTTTCATTTCGCGTTGCGATTCTCTCGTTGCGATAGTCATTTCCGCGTTGCGATTTTCATTATCTTGTTGCGATTTTTATTTCAACCAAAAGACAAAACAGTGTTGCAAATTTTAGTTTCAAGAATAAACTACTATTTATGTTTATTGTTTTTGGTATATCTTCACAGTGTAGTTTTTGGTATATCTAACTTGGTATGTTTATTGTTTTTGTAGAAATTTTTTTCGGCTTCAATGACATTAAGGAATAAAGTTAGCCTAGCCACTACAATTGCTTCGAAGCTTTCACCTGCACAAAGAAAATTGTTTGAGGAAACCTGCTTCGGGCCATGGCTGAGAGTACAGCATCCGGGTGGAGATGCTAATTTGACCCATTTGTGGCTTCAGACCATGACTAGCGATCTACCCGACAGTATACAACGTAGTGAGGAAGAGATATGGTTTCATTTTCCACCGGCGTATACTTGTTTTGGGCGGAAGGAGTTCTGCTTAATCACTGGTCTACGATTCGGACACGATGATATAGGCCGGTACACTCGTCATATCACCCGCCCATCATGGTTATCCAGGGTTTTTCCTGATAAGTCAATAGAGAAGCTGAACTTACACGTCGACGACATGAAGAAATTGTTTAATAAGAAAGATGGTTTTACTCGGATGAATGACGTCGATGTTGTCCGAGTATGCCTTCTACTACTTTTGTATGCCGACTTTTTAGGCAGAGAGGCCAGACAACCTATTCCTCAGGAGCTAATATTATTGGTAGAGGACCTAAATGCATGGAATCTGTTTCCGTGGGGTTCGTATATATGGAAAGCTACCTGGACTAAGTTGTTGTCTGCCTTTGATGACCGCAAAAGTTTGCGGGGCGATGGGTCGAAATACACTTTGTCAGGCTTTGTTTGGGCCTTTAAGGTAAGAATTTCTATATAATGTTTTCAAAATTATAATTAATTATTTAATAATTACTAATGTTTGTTATTATATTGTTTGTATATTTGGATATTCGAGGCTTTCTCCAGCATGCAGACATATGCATTAAAAACCTCAAATGATATTCCTAGGGCTATTTCCTGGAAGAGGAAACGTCTGTTGGATTGGGAAGACTTAATACCATATGCGACAATAAATAATGTAAGTTAACACAAATACTATCATATATAAACAAGTTATTAATAGTAGACGTTTAACTTTGTTTGAGTTTTTATATTTTTAGGAGGCCAACACTCCATTAATGAGACTGACACCCACGGAGGCTGAGCTTGCCACTGATTGGTGGCAAGCTAGTCAGCGTTTTCTTGATGGCACGAATGATGAGCAGCCTCCACTTCCTCCACTTCAAGAGCCATCACCTCACCCAGAGCCATCACCTGATCGACCCGACTATACACCTCTACAACGAGAGCCATCACCTATCACGTCACATCATCGAGCCTCTTCTCCACCATCACCTCATGATAGGCGACCGGCAAAGATGCCACGACTTCTATCTCCCTGTTCTTCACCTCCACCTCCACTGGATGAGTCAAGGGAGTTACGTGATGAGGTCAATGCCTTGCGTGAGGAGATCGGTACTCTACGCGATAACGATGGTGCATGGCGTGTGGAGGTGTCTACTTTACGTGGTGAGGTTGCCGCTCTACGTGAGATGGTAGTATCGTTGCAGAATGAGGTTCATACTCTATGCAACGAGATAAGTTTAAGATTTTCCATATTTAACTTGATAAATTTACTCGTAATTTCACTTAGATTAACCATTTCACTTAGATTGCTTAGTAAATTTATTCGGTTGCTGCCAATACTGCTAAACTGTTTATTAACACTGTGAAGTTAGTATTTGTCTTTTGTTTTGTCTTTTGGTTGAAGTAAATTTATTCAGTTGCTGCCAATTCTGCTAAACTGTGTATTCTTTAACATTGTGAAGTTAGTATTTGTCTTTGTTTTGTCTTTTGGTTGAAAGTAAATTTGTTCGGTTGCTGCCAATTCTGCTAAACTGTGTATTCTTTAACACTGTGAAGTTAGTATTTATCTTTGTTTTGTCTTTTGGTTGAAAGTAAATTTGTTCGTTTGCTGCCAATTGAAACTATTCTTCTTCTGCAAATTGAAACTTGAATGAATTGCATTACTTCAACCAATAGACAAAGACAAATACTAAGTTGACAGTGTTGCAAGTTTGAAACATATTTGCCTTTGTTATCTGATGCATTTTGTGAACTATGATAGAATAATGACTTGGGTGAATTCAATGCAAGTTTGAAACATATTTGTCTTTGTTTTCACTGTTTAAATATCATGTCTATTTATTTACTGATATTTGTATTTAATTATTTAGCAGACCGATAAGGTGGATTCTTTACGTCGGGTTTTTCTTGCATGACAAAGTTCACGCATCAGACGGCGTGCACGTGCTATTAAGTCTCCGTACACCCCAATAGTGCGAAGACACCGCAAGAAGAAGCTCGACTCGTCTGTCATCCCTCAAGAGTCCACTCCTATCGTTGAAGAGGCCCCTATCATTCCTCGAGAGTCCCCTCCTACCGTTCAAGAGGCCACTGTCATCGTTGAAGAGGTCCCTCCCACCATTCAAGAGCCCGATTCACATGGCGTCATATGTAGGATTCTTGAGAAACCCTCTGACGTGCCGGACATGATGGATTCAAGTTGGCTCTCGTATGAGTTACCGGCCAGTACCATACCGGTATCTGAAGTTGAGAGGAGACAACTACCGGACACAATTCTGGATAACACCCTTTGGGCTAAGACCGCAGTTGATTTTTATCTACATGAGCGGAGCCAGGGGTGTTTCACTGGCATATGCAAGCTCAACGATGATATCTATTTGTTGCTTGATCGGTCTTGGTGGGGCGTATTATTAGGGGTCGAAGACAATGGCTATTTCGATGGAGGGGTAAGTCTTATATTTTTCTTATATTTTAATTTGATTATTTTTTTTAAAATTTATGTAAGTTACTAATATATGTCTTTTTTTGTAAAACAACATATCGATGCGTGGGTGTCACGTCTTCTAATAATTAGGAAACTTAAGGAAAATAAAAGAAATACACGATATACAATTATGCCGACGTCTTTTAACGCCGTTCACTTGAAGAATCAACGAGATGAATCATTTGAGTTGGGCAATGGACAAGCTAAACTTTATCCTGCATGGTGGGAGGTCGATAAGGTTAGTATTTATTTTAGATTGAGTTTAAAGGTATTCATAAATAAGTGCGCAAATGAATGAATTATTACTTATAATTGCAGGTGTTTATCCCTGTTTTGGAAAGTAAACATTGGCTTCTCGTCGAGCTTCAGCTCCCATCCCTTAAGGTAATAGTATATGATAGCATGATAAATTACATATCATTGGCTGATTTAAGAGATATTATTAAGGGATGGAGCTCTCATTTGGCTAAATTCTTGGATGCGATAAATTATTGGACTCGTTCTGGAAACAAGAAGCCAAAGAAGCTCAATATTATAGTTAGCAGAGACGAGACCGCACCACAACAAACGAAAGGACCCAGAGGGGATTGTGGTCCTCTCGTATGCTTGGCGTTGGAGCGTTTGATCACATGAAGTATAAAGTATCTACCTCCCACCGATAGAGATAGAGCTGCAGTAGGCTTGTGGTTTCGGTATTATATGGCTAGATCGATATATACGAGACACTGCCTACCTGCATCCGCGTTATAAAAATGTTCATAAACAATTGGTAAGTTTATAGGCTTGTGGTTTGAAAATGTTTGGTTAAGTACCTAGAATTCAATAATTTGTTGTTTGCAGGTTTTAGATGTGTAGAAAGTGTTGTTTGAGCAAATGTTTGGTTTATGCAGGTTAATCTCAGAAGTGAGCTGCGTGAAAATGATGTATGGCTGCGAAAGT